CTGTCCGGGGGTGCCTGCGCCCTCCAAAGCCGGGGGGGGGGGGGGGGGGGGGGCACCAGCGGCTGATTGGCAACTGGGAGGAGGCGGGGGGGGCAGCGGTTGATCGCTGACCAGAAGTGCCGCCAGTGCTTCTCTCGGGGGGGCACAACCCATCTCAGGGGGTGCACATGCACCCACGTGCTCCTCCTACACGTTGCCAATGTTCTTACAGCCCGGCAGGATTATCATGCATCCCACTATGTTGCAAGGATGCAGCCCACTATGTTGTCACACCCAGCCACTGTGATACCCAGCGGCCAAGTCTCCTGCCTCAGCTGACAAATACCATCACTCAGCTCCCCTTCAGCTTCCTGCCTGAGAGCCGCAAAACTCCTTCACCCAAAAGCACCCCCAAACTCTCTTAACCATTCATGCACCCCAGTGCTCTTCAGTGCCCATTTTATCTAAGGTTTAGGTACAGCAGTGTATCTTGCCCTTTTCTCTGGTTTGGACAGAAGGTGTGAAAGGAATAAATAACCTTTCTATGCATGAGAGACATCACACATGAAGCTGCCCAAACCTTCTGCAGGGCTGTCCCTAAGGACTCAAACCAGTCCAGACTTTTAAATTAGAATGCAGTGGCCATGTAAAACCAATATAATGCCTCAGCTACAGTGGATGGTTGAATTACCAATGCCTGAGCTTTTTCTAAAATAGGAACTTAAAGTTATTTAATTGGTAGTCCCAGTCTACCCATGTGAGGTTTTGGAGGTGTGCGGCAGCTATACTCCATTGCCCCTTGGCATTTTTACTGGAATTAATAGGCTGCGTCAGTGTGTCCCTCAGTTTGCTAGTGCATCTGGTGAAGAAAAATCTTCCAGGAGAACACTTTTTTTTCCTTGAGAATAAGTGGTAAGATTTTCCAGAGGGTGAAGTACAAGCCAGGCTGTGACCATAGCTCTGCAACTGCCTTATTCTATGGCCGCAGGCAAATCACATAACTTCTCAGTGTCAGTTTCCTGGCCTGTAAAATGAGGCTGATGATAATTCTGTAGCTGTATAGGAGGATTGGAAGGGCTAATCCAGTCACACTGAAGACATCTCTGAACATGTAAAGGAGACTTCAGTCTTCCTGTTGTTATACAGGCCTGGGACAAGCCAACATAACAGCTGCCTCTTCCAATTATTATTCCTTTAACTGTAGGTGTTACCATTTTAATCTTAAATCCAAATCCCACCATTGTCACCTGAAAAATGGTGACAGAATTTTTTTTATAATGAACCATGTCTTTCCTGAAGCACCATTTGCTAAATAACTCATGACTTGTGCGTATTATCTCTTGCTTTTTTTTTTTTTCAAAATGGCTCAAACTCATCAGCAGTCTTTTTAAAGCTATTGCAAGTGGCACTTCAGTCATCCTCTTTTGTCCTGGGTGAAGCTGGAGGGTGACTCAGCAGTTAAGGTGCTAGTTTGGGACTCGGAAGATATGGATCTCAATCTCTGCTCGGTAGAGATGAAAGCAGTACTCTATTTCAGTGGGGGTTGTGAGGCTAAAGGCAACATATGGAGCTCAGATAGATAGTCTGGTATATAATTAAGTGGAACTCTTCTTTTTATTATGAAACAGCACAATTCACTTAGGTCTGCAGGATGTCCTGAACTAGTTGGTCATGTAAGGACATACTGGGAAGTAAGAAACTCACCCTTGAACTGAGTTGCAGAGGATGAGAAGTGGAAAAAGCCTTGGTTTTACCAGCCAGCATGGCAGAGTTGGACTGTGAGGTATTGCTATCTCCTGTTGGAAGAGACCAGTAGCAACTTATTACCTGCTGGCCATGCAGAAGCAGAGGAGAAATTTTACACAGTTTCTACCTGATGCTGTTCTGTGGACTGGGAAGCTATGTGCCATACCCCTTCCCCCAGCCCCACCCCAACCTTGGCTCATGCCTACTGCATAATCTTATCCTTAGAGCGTAGCTCATGAATTTTCAGTCGTGTCAGTACTCAATGACCAGCCAGCTCCATAAGGCATTGTAGTCTTGTCACTAATTACTTTACTGCATTGTTTTAAACTCTAGAAAATCCTTTGAGTTTGAGGATGCTTCCAGTCTGCAGTCCTTGTACCCTCCCTCCCCAACTGAGAATGGTACTGAGGCCCAGCATAAATTTGGATCCAAGAGCACTTTAGAAGAGAATGCCTATGAAGACATCGTAGGTAAGGACCTGTTGCAGCACATGAAATATACACTTGATATTGAGCAATTGTGGTTAAACAGTGAATTGTTGAACACATGCCCTGAGCAAAAACTTTTAGCTGCAGCCAGTAAGGAGAAATGGAATGGAGGGTAAATGGGCTGATGCGTCAGAGCAAACATATTATTCACAGTCTGCACGGAGGAGGTCTCGATTCCTTCAGACCTCATTGAGTGGTCTTATTGGAAACAGATTTTTTGGTCAGCCATCATCATGCTTTTCATGGATTAAATTATTCTTTTCCAAGGCCTGGGCTTGCAGCCATGGGCTTAAAATATAAAGAGAAAAAAAGATGCAGAGTTTTCAGGACTCTGAAACAGCTGGACTGTTCTTCAAGGAGCTGCCTGGTCAGACTGTGCTCTGAAGGAGCTATGGGTCAATTGCCACAAAACAATTGTCCTGAGCAGTGCTTTCAGCTGAGGATAGATTTGTTAAAGAGAATTTCATCTTCCTGTGCCTACAGAGCCATCAGGAATACAAAACATTGTCTTGATTAAGCCACATAACAAAAGCAGACTTTCTCAGCCCTTGAAAATGCATGGCCTTTCCATATATACTTTTAACATATGCCTATCAAAAGGATTGTTGCAATAATTGGAACTTGGACAATTCTGTGCAGATATTATCCATATGGGTCAGCAGCATGTGTGTTTGGGGGGGGTTTGGTTTATTTTTACATTTTTGTTAAAGTAAGTGCAGCCCTCAATGAATATGTGACTTGGGCAAGCACAGCCCCCTCCCCCCCAGCACTGTCCTGGACCTCTTACTGTAGCATCTTGATGATGGGCAGAGATACGAGACTCTGTCCAGCAAGGGGGCTGAACACTATCAATTCCCACTGAAGTCTGTGGAAATTCAAGGTGTGAAGTGTCTAGCACAGCGGTCACCAACCAGTGGATCTTGATCCATCAGTAGATTTCAGAGCCTCCTGGAGTTGATCCAAGGCTGGGGTGGGGAGCTGAGCGCTCGCATGCATGCATGCGCATGTCCCAGCCCAGCAGGTCAGTCTCTGGGGAAGGGAAGGGACAGGGGCTAGATTGAGGCTTCCATGGTGAGGGACCATGCCACAGAGGCAGGAGCAGGAGTAAGTTGAGTGGGGCCCTGGCTGGGTGAGACTTACCTGCTGGGGAGGTACACCCCCAAATATTTTTTTCTTCCTCTGCCTCTATATGCCCCCCCTTGCCTCCACACAGACTCACCTGCTGGGGGGTGGGTAGGGGTGGTGGTGGTGCATGGTAGATCTTGGGTTGCTTTTAAATTCCAAAGATGATCTTCTGCTTAAAAAGGTTGGAGACCATGGGTCTAGCAGGACCCATCCAGAGAGACCCATTTGCATTCCTCCTTCTTCCCTAGTTTTGCCACCAGCTTTTCTCTTTTTTAGATTGCATCATGATTCTCTATTCAGTTGTTTAGGGAATATTTTGGCAAGAGATAAATCTTGAAGTGTTGATCACTGTAAGACTTCCCCTGGTTACTTCTGAATACCCTGTTGGTTTGGGCCTGCTGTTGAGAAACCTCTCCCTTTGACTCCCTGGAGTTTAAAGTATGTCTGTTAGCTGAAGTGTGCTGAGTAACTCCTGCTCAAGCGGCACATGTTGGCAGGAGATGCTGGCGTTGGAAAACCATGAGCCCATCCAGAGCCTTGCAGAGAGAACCAATGTATTTCAACACCCTCCCCTCCAGACAGACCACCACTAGAAGTGGGAGTGAGGTTTAGTTTTTGGACTTTCCATTCTTTAGCCTTTCTACTGCAGGTGCCAATATTATTGCCAATTAGTAGTGTGTGGGTTTTTTGGTAATGGTCCTGATTTGATTGCCTTTCTTGGAAGAAACTGTTAGTTTTCTTCCCCCCACTGTTTAGTTTAATTATATCAAAGTGCAATAAAGAGCTCAATTGATATGGAGACACTTAGACAACCTTATGGCTATAATAGTGTCTCTGTGTTCATAGTTTTGGTCAAATTTTACCTTGGATGGTCAGCTCCCAGTGTCTGCAATGAATGTCTCACATATTTACATGTACACACTCCTGAAAGCAGAATTTGCCCCTTTGCATCTTAGAGCTGCTTGGCTTTCCAGTTCTCCCAGTCAAGGAGCACAGACCTATATAAGTTGACAGATCCCTGTTCAGTCAACATGGGAAAACCATATTAGGCATTGAATTACACACCACTGCACAAGGATTGTCAACATGCTGCCAGATGTTAGGTTGTAACCCTCATTTTCCCATTTTGACTGTTTTTTTACATTCAAAAATCAAAATAAAATGCTCAGCATTGCAAGGATCTGCCTTTTAACTAAGGGTCCATAAAACAGAATAATAGACTCATCTATATCCTGAGAACTATTAACTTGTTCCCTGCAGGTAAACCTGCTCCATGCAGATAGGCATTTGGGTATTTTTGCAAGGCATTGGGCAGAGTCTGCAGCATTTCTGATTTGTGGATAAAAAGAGAACTTCATTGTTTTCCACTTCTTTCTGACAGTCTCTGTTCCAAAGGGTTTCATTCAAGACGAGCTGTGTGGGATGAATATTTAATGAATATAATGAGATATATTAGGCAACAGATAGAATAAAACCAAAGCAAATCAATTTAATCTGAGGATTTAAAGAAAATATGTTAGTTTAGTTTACTTGATGATACATAACTGGTAGCTTTATGCCTAGATATTTAAAAAGTACTTTTGTGCTTGCCATCGTAAGTTGTAGTCATGAAGCCAGGTGTATGCAAGTGTGCATTTCTGTAGCTATGAGTGTCAAGTCAAAGAAAGATGATTTTCTCAGCTGGTGTGGACTTTAGGTGAATATGTGACACAGAGGTGAAAGTATCATAGGTATCTGCCTGAATTACCCAAACCCTCACTGGTCACTTGACTGACCATGCTACAGCAATAAATAAAGATCTTTTTTCCCCTTAAAATGATTATTAGTAATGCTGATAAATGTGTAAAATGCCCGATCAGGGTAATCTCAGGCATTGCCATAAAATTTCCTGTTTTGAGAAGAAGGTTGCAAAATTTTGGGCAATCCTAAAAAAAAATCCACACTGTGTATCCACCCCAAATCTATTCGTTCCCTCATTCTAGCTGAGCCCTCTCTCCAGACACACTCATTTAAATTCTTGTATGCTCTGCTGTCTACTATAAGCATTTGTATTATGAAACTTTGGCAGGAAGAGTCTGTCCCTTCAGTGGAAAATGGATGATCACTGTAGAGGTTTGTTGCCTTTGGTAGAGAATTAATTATCAGATAAAAGGCTCTTCTAGAAATTTCGCATACATTATAAACGAGTTTATGAGCACTGTATGTGATATTGAACTCTTTAGTAACAGCCAGGCTAGAGGTTCAAAATTTTATCTCTGAGTATTTGAAGACCATTTGTATTCATTGTCATTGGTAGTGATTCCTCACTAAGTAACCTTCATTCTCTTAATACTCTTTTACTTCATACTTCCTTCTGGTCTTCTTTTCCCACCTAGAGTTTCTCCTTATATTTGAGGAAGGGGACTCAGGAGTAATGATTTATTGTTGCTTATTTATTCTCAGAGTGTTAAAAAAAGTGTTAAAATATATTTTTAATATAGTTGGCAATTTGGAGTTCAGCTAAAGTAACAAAGTTGCATCTCTAAATCACCTTTCACCCAACTATCTGGCCTTTGGAAGATGATGTTATTGCCATGGACTGGCTTGGATAAGAGTGAGAAAATTAGATTATGTCCCATATTCTGATTTTACATAAAGCCTAAGAATTTGTTCGTGCTTTGAAACTTTTCTTACCTTCTGAACTGTTGGTGTGCTGGACACAAGGATATTACTGGAGATTTTCTCTAACATGAGACTAAATCAAGTGTAGAAAAGTGAGTGTTCAGCTGAGCTGTGTACTCTCTGCATCTTAGTGTAGAAATTTTCAAATGTTAATGGGGACACCAGCAGCTGCCTTGTCTAGGTAGGACTATGCTTCTTTACTTGAGCAGGTGGTCCTCCCTTGTTTAACAAATGGTGGGGGTGGGGGGAGGTGTTCTGAACAGAATAAGCCTGCTTAAAATACTTCTTTCTCCTCTGAGATTTATTAATAGTGATCCTGGTATTAGAAGGCCAGTGGTTTTTTGTTTGTCTGCTATTTATGAAACCATGGAGACCTTTTAAACACATAGCCCTGTTATATGTATCAGATTGTTCTAACAGGTGTTGCCCCTTACTGAATGTTTGGTTAAGACGGGATTTATTTCAGTCACATAGGGGGGCAAAGAGGCCTTGCTCATGTGACAGAGGTAGTTGTCATTTAGCTTGTCAACTTGCACTAAAATTTTGCTTGTTTACTACGTGTCTATCTTTAATGGGTATGGTTCAACTAGATTTCACATGATGAGCTACAGTAACTGGTACAAGGGAGTATGCAGGTAAATTCTTATCCTTGGAGTCCTTCTGGGTGTCTCTCTAAAAGATGTATTCTAGCTATCCTTACATTTATTGGGCCCAATAGTGTTCATTTATACAGCAGTATCCTTCCACTGTAGGACCTGCTGTGTAAAATTCGGCGGCTGGGGTG